GCTTCGGCTCACTCGCAATAATATAAACATGAAATAATATAAACAATAATCATATAAACATGAACAGTTTGTAAAAATATTTGTCAAGCCTCCGTCCCATGTTTGATAAACTTAGAGAGTCTTTATATTACATTATATTATATTGGAAGTCATTCGCTTAGTATAGGTAATTATACGGTTTCGAGTTGAATTTGGAATTAATTTGCACGAGTGGGTTTTTCAAAAAGCTGAAATTGCACCAGCCGCTTCGGCTCACTCACAATAATATAAACATGAAAAAATTTGCGTGGAGGAAGTGCCGGAAGATCTCTCTTGAAGCCATTTTTTCGCATTCGAGAAAACTTTTTTCAAATATCCCGCACAGAATTTCCGTCATCATTTTACGTGAAATCATTGGCTTAGTAAATTTCCTATCGTCTTTCAGCCAATCATGATTTAGAATTATGATGTGTCATTTGCACTGGTGTTGCACTTGAACTGTACTGCTTTCAGCCAATCAGAATCGAGTAATTTTTTCATGTACACTATTATCTTTGGAATTTCTCGAAGTTGCCAAAGTGATCTTCGCGAAAGAAATCGGCAGCTTTCGGATAACGAGTAAAGTACAATAATTCTTCTTTCACTACGGAGTTAAATATTGGCAAGTGCACAGGGAATAGAAAAGTGCTGTATCCTTGTCTCGTAATTCAACAGTCATTCCAGTGAATTTTAATTATTTTTTAATTTACATTGTGCTTGCTAATTGAACATCTTTTATTAATTAACCAGGTGAGATGTTATTCTCTAAAGCAAGAAACCAAAATGTGAATCTATCCGTGCAAACTTGACTCTATCGTCTGCTGATTAAATTTAATATCCTGCACGTTACACTAGCGAAAACCATTTACAGCAGAAGTGTTTTTTACTCTAACTAATGGCTTTCCTTATACCTTCGAAAAACTACATTTTCGGAAGGGTCGTGTTACACTCTTGTTTATCGATTTCTTTTTCGTTCAAAGAACTTCATTTTCGCTTCATTATTGTTAATTAACAGTACTAGCGAGTGCAAGTCTTGTCATGAATTATTATCAATCATGATAACTTTCCAAAGGTATTC